AGTTGCTGTAGTGTTCCATAGAGTGTGTTGTCAATGTTAGGTCTCGGAGGGAGAAGGGTAGCTCTGATGTCATTTAGGGCTGTACAGTGGAACAGGTGATGATCCACAGTCTCATATGCATAGTCACACAAGGGACACATTGGGGGAAGTTCCGGGTTTTCCGCTCATGTGCGGCATAGATATTGTCCTTGTGGGGCACCATGAGCTCTACCAAGTGCACCTCTTTGTCTCTTTCCTCCTATAACACCATGTCTGGCTTTTTCGTAGTTAGAATAGGGAAGAACCTCTTAAAGCCCTTTAAGTCAGCGGCTACCTCCCATGTGCCTCCGCTCTGGTCTTCCATGGCTTCATTTGCTTTCTTTCTGTTGGTAACCTTGCTTCCTTGCGGAACGAACGCAATCTTGGTGAGTCCATGCTTCTGTAGCTTGGGAGCGTATTTTCCTTCTTCCACCTGTTTTGTCGCCATCGTGGTGAGCACTTTCAGCATCTCATTGTGCCTCCAGGTGTATCTGTTAAGAGCCAGGTTGCAGTTTGACAAAATATGCTTCATCGTTCCTAGCTTACCACATCTACACTTGTTGTCCTCCTGTACCATCCATCTGACAAGGTTCACCGGTGAAGGCAGAACATCATACGTAGACCGGAGAAGAAAGCTTAGCCTAGATGTGTTCCACTTTCAGATGTCACTCCAATCGACTTTGCTTTCGACTACATGCTCTTCTTATCTGGTCATTTGTCCTTGCTGGCTACACTGGATGAGATGCCTCCATCTTTTGCAGATGTCTTGTTGCAGCTTTTCTTCTGTCTCGCTGAGACATTTTCCTGAAAGGTCTAAAGTCGCCATTACCTAGCCTTAATCTGTCAGGTTGCGCAGCACTGACAATGTCGCCATGCTCCAATGCAGAGATGATCTCGTCAGCTGCAACTTCTGCCTTTCACTTTCTGGCTGTTTTGACACCTGGAGGTTTTCCACTGATCTCCTTATCCCTTAAATCTCTCAACATCAAAACGGTTCTAATCTTGCCTGCGTTGTAGATCTCCACGATTGACGTGAGAGGTAGTTGAAGCGCACCTCTGTGTCCGTACGGGGATGACTTGTTCATTGTACGGGGTAGCCCAAGCCACTTCCTGATGTAGCTGCTGCAGTTACCCTTTCTTTCGATCATCTCAACTCTTGACAGAGAAACTTCATACATTGTCAGTGGCCACGCCAATCGAGGGTAAAAGGCAAACTGTATACACCATATCTTATGCTTTCCGGGAAGCTTTGTCTAGTCAATTGCTTTCAGCCCATTTTCAGCCTGCTTCATGATTTCCACGCCTTGACTCCTATCCGACAGAGTTCCTGAGTACCAACGACCCAAACTCTTCACAGGTTGTTCTTTTACAGTGGGCATTTGCTCCCCTGCAATTGTGAATTCAGTTGCTTCTGTTTTCCTCTGTGAATAGTCAGGCTTCTACTTCTAGATTTCTTAGCTTTAAACTTCATCCTGGCCCAGGTGATAAGCTTATCGAGTCGATTCAACACACTTTGCACTGTGTCTGCTTCTCTTGTCAGTAGGGTCACATCATCCATAAAGGCATTCTTTGGTGATCTCACCTTTGCTTCTTCTTCACAGCATTCTACAGATCTCAGTAGCATCTCCATTACCAGGATGAACCAGATGACCGATATAGAGCAGCCAGCTGCAATCCCAATCTCTAGTCAGTGCCATTCCGTTGTGAAATTTGCAGTTGAGAATCGCATCTGGAAGTTACTGTAGTATTCTCTCATGATGTTTTGCACCTCTTGTGGGACGTAGAAAAAATCCATTGCCTTCATCAGAAGTTTATGGGGAACAGACCCTTAGGCATTCACAAGATCCAATCACACTACGTTTAAGCTTTCCGAGGTTTTCTTGGCCTCTTGGATTGTGTCCCAAATGGTGAAAGCATGCTCAATACAGCCTGGGATCTCTGGTACCCCGGCTTTCTGAACCCTTTCATCCACATATCCGTTACTTTGCAAATATGCTACAGTCCTCTTTGCAAGTATTCCCATAAAGATCTTGCACATCACGTTGATGATTGAAATAGGTCTGAACTGTCCTATCTCCTTTGTATTCTGTTCTTTGGGTAGATACACGCCCTCCGCTCTGCACCAATCTTTGATGATTTCTTTGTCTTTCCAAAGGCCTTTTAGCATTTCAAAGAGCGTGTGTCTCAGCGTGTCACAATACTTGAACACCTTATAAGACACGCCATCTCCTCCAGGTGAGCCACAGCACAATGATTGTCGTCAGTATTTCAAACTCCAACAGGTCAGTATATTGAAAGTGAAATTATTTGTTTAACGGAAGTGATTTTAAAAAAAAATTTAACTGCGAGACTATTATATTATATTAGTACAAAAATAACAGCTTTTTAGAGCCTATTATGTAAAACCCAGTTGTGTAGAACATTAATAATATAACAAATAGCATTTGTATAGTCCATAACCCTACTCTACAGCAAGCTCCTATGCGATACTGTATTACTACCCCAGCAAACCATAGAACACTCAGAAATATTCTAGGCTTCCCGGGAAGCATACAGTGCAAGCAGCTGGTTAAGTGCTCAAACACTAACAAACTGACAAGATCCTTCACTGTCTATGTCTGAACATGACTTGGAGTTTGGAGTACAACCAGATTATGTGCACGTACGAACGAGTGGGAAATCCTCCGGGTGTTTAGAAATGTAGTCTTCCAGGACGAGGACTCTCGTGTTCCGACGGTTCTCCAGGAATTCGTCAGCTTTTGTCCCGACGTACAGCCCACCCAAGACGGCAGCTACATGCTTCACCACAGCTGTGGAGAGAAAAAGTTTTAAAATGTAATACAGTTAATATTGTTAAAGATGGCCCCACTCATTGTTGAGGAGAAAAGTAAAGTGGTTGTTTTACAAGGTGGACATTTTGGACATTGTCATTTATAAAAATATTAGAAACCTTTAAAAAATAAAGAACAAGAGCCACAAGGGGTGAAGTGGGAGGTGTTGGTTTGATGTATGAGAGTGTCTAGGGCAGGTGGCCGCCAGAGTAGGAGGTTCACCTGAGGTTTCTTTCCAAATTCGAAGTGACTATTCGGAATTGAGCCCGAATAGACAAAAATTATATTCGGACTCTCAATTGAGTCCAGCATCATGAGCATGTCGCCCAATCCGATTTCCGACCCTTGTTCCTAAATATTTCCAGCATTTACTAACATTTTTTCGATTATAATGATAATAGTCGAGATGTGAGCTTTACTCAGTTACTAGATCTATCTAAACTGGCCCTCCCTCCATCATTAGTACTCAGAACGAGTAAGTTGAGCTGACCTTGCCGGGGGCAAAGTAATTTGTCAACTAATGAGATTGCGTGTAGCGATCACACACTCTCGGCTTGCAGGGAGGAGAGGTGTTGGGAAAAGGCCATGGATGTCCATTTTGTGCGATGTGATTAAAAAAATTATTACAGAAAAACTATAACATATAACAAAATCAAATTAAACGTGTGGAAAGACAAATGGTGGTGGAAGTAATAATGATGCTGTACTGGTGGTGGAAAGACCCTGAGTTTTCGGTTACCATGATTTAGACACTGCTATAGGGTGGATCTAATGAGAGTACAGTCTTTTTGACTTTTGACACAATTACACAGTCCTAAGTAGGCAATTCTAGCTCTAATTCAGGTTTTACGTAAAATCAACCAACGACAGCTTTATATTTTATGTAACCTCCTTACACACTCATATAAAACTCACTTAGAAGCTGAGTCCGAATAAAAACAAACATTTTTTTCGGACCTGACTCCGAATAGATTATAAGACCCATTCGCACTCGAGTCCGAATAGATATAAAAATTATATTTGGACTAGTTTCCGAATAGAGCTGGCCGTCCAAATTTATCCCAAATAATTCTGCATGTACAGAGCTTAGATCTCGCGCGGCGGCCAACTTCAAAGGTATTTTGCCACCTAGTTCGCCTCTCCAAATCTGACTTGTGTGGGTGGGGATGCGGGCGGCGTTGATCGTGGCGTTAGACGCAAGACGCACAGTCTGTGACGTCACCTCCTGGTGTCACTCCCACTCCCAGTAGCCTTCTACCGGTACCGCTGCTGGCGATTCTCGGCACAACGAACCGACACTGGGTTTCGCCGGTACTGCCAAGCACTACTGTTGAAGTTGGGTTGGTGGAAGGAAGGGTTGTGTTAACCATAGTCCATGGTCGTCATGTGAAAATGAAACACCCGTGGACTCTTACATTACAATAATTACACTGGCTGTCTTTATTCGGACTCGAGTCCGAATTTGAGTCCGAATATGAAAAATGTTATTCGGACTCGATCAGGAAAAAAGGAAGTGTCTTCGTTCTATTGATCTAACGTTCAGTGCTTCCAATTTTCCGCCATTTTTTAGTTTCTCCCACACCTTTTCTGCCGATCCGATGCCCGCCGCCTCATTGATACGCCCCCCCCCCCCCCCCCCCCCCATGTTTCCCACTTTCTTTGTTGTTAGAAAAAGGTAAAATTGAAGATAAGCAGGGCACCTGCATATTATGAGCTGTGTAAAAAAAAAAAAGACCGATTCGTTCAAATACACAAGCCCGTGTCATCTCGATTGTTTACCAAGAAAAAGTTGTGTTGCTGTGTAGAGCTGAGCATACACGGCAACTTTCGATTCCATAGACCAGCGCACAATTCATTACAAGACTAGCTTTTATTTAATGATCAGTTGCAGGGGAAAAAAACGCCCGTACCGATAGTGCCCCCCCACCCCCCTCCCCGACACACGCTAACGAGCCATCTAATTGTTTCTGATGACCTCTTGACAAATAAACATTTATTAGAAGCGCTATAACTTTTCAGGCCGGCCTCAAATTCATCATAAGATAAAAGGCCACCGCAGGCGAGTCTTTTGGCTATTCTCACCCGGTGGGCGTTCACAGTTATAGCCTAGGCCAACCAGTGAAGCGTTCACCCTGAACCACAGAATTCTACGCTGTGATAACAGAATTTATAATAGAATTCTGTGCTGTGAACAAACGTTCTAGATCTATTACTACTGTTAGTTAGTGTTAGCCTAAAAGCGTGTTATTTTGTCTGTGGGCAGTGGAGAGAGAGAAAGAGAGAGAGAGGAGTAGCGCGAGAACTTCCGTGCAACACAAAATGGCGACCCGCTCGATTCGGAAAGTTAAATAGCTGTATAGCATCTTTGTGGACAACCAAATTAATTTAGTTTTGTTTTTTTAACATCATTTTTCAACTTTGTTTTTGTTCAATTTGATCGTCCACACATAGACAGTGATCAGAAAGAGAGAGAGACGGGGGGAGGAGTAGATCTTGCGAGAACTTCCGGGCAAAACAAAATGGCAACCCGCGTAGTTCGGTTCGATTCGAAAAGGGGCCATAGCATCTTTGAACACGATCAAATTTGTTTACTTTTGTGCTATGTGTATAACGTAATTTTTTCTTGGCTTTTATCAATTTGATCATCCACATCGATAGACAGTCTATTCCAAAATGAGGAAAAACAGAGGTCTTGTTTCACACCGGGTGAGAATACCCTACGCTGGCAAGTCTCATCCGGGGTGAGAGGTAGATCGTATTTTTATTCTCACTCGGGTGAGAATAGCCACTTCCAAGATAAAAACTCGGCTCCTGCACAAAACGCCATTTTGCCCGAAGGGGAGGACTTCCGTAACGAGCGACCACTATGAGACAGAGCAGAATTGAGGGCTTGGGGTAGGGGTAGATCTAGGGATAGGGGTAGGGTTAGGGTTTGGGTTTGGGTTAGAGGGTTTGGGTTAGGGTTAGGCCTCTTCTTTATTGTGTTTGATGGGGTGGTCGCTCGTTACGGAAGTCCTTCCGCCCGAAGTGATCCCGGTCTCTACCCAGCCTGAGGCGTGTCACGAGTGAGGCAGGACAGGAAGCCGGAGTCACGAGTCACAGGAAGTCGGTAGTGACGTCATGCTGGACAAGAACACCCTGTGCGAATAAAATTTCATAGTATTCGCACACCCTGTGCGAATACAATTCCATAGTATTCACACACCCTCCGGTGCGAGTAACTATGTACAGTTAACTGTACAGCCTTCGAATTTTCAATAAGGATTCGTTTTCAATAGGCCTACCTGTCTACTTACATGCAGTGGGAGGCCTCCGTGACAGATAATTATGCAGAAAGGAAACTCCAAGAAACATTCCGGCATTCATTGCCTGCATTAGCGAAACCTTGGCTCCATCTATCACTGGCAAACGTCGAGAAATCTCTGGTCCCACCATTGTTTTGGCTTTGGCTTTAGTTTTTCCGTTGAAGTTCTGTCTCCAGCACAGCACTTGCAGTCGAGTCGAACCAAGGACGAAAACTTAAAAGTTGGATGCAATAAACAATGAGAAATCAAGCTTTTCAATCGGCCCACTTAAAATAAATGAAAAGAAAATTTGCATTTAAAATACTCAATATATATGAATCAAAACATTTACAATAATATTATTATTATATTAGATAGACTTAAACGGAACCACTGAATATTTAACAATAATTGTATTGTAGCCATTTACCTAAATGGTCTAACTTTTTAATCATTTATCCAGGGACGTAACTCCGAAAACGTGTAATTGTACACAAACTCCTCAATAAGAGACGAGAGCATGATCATATGATTAGTCATTCTTTGTTGTTGACATGCTGTAAGCTTAGTTCTGGTCAACATGGCAAGTGAAGATTTACCTGAGGAGTTTGATATTATTGTTCTCGGAACAGGTAGGTTTACATTAAGCTACTGCTTCCTCTCTGTCCTGCTCTTAGTCTTTGCCAACAAGAGAGCGCGAGAGGGGGAGGACTTCCGTAACGAGCGACCACTGCACTACGAGACAGAGCAGAATTGAGGGCCAGCTAGGGGTAGGGGTAGATCTAGGGGTAGGGTTTGGGTTAGGGCTAGGCCTCTCTTCTTTATTGTGTTTGATAGATAGGGCGGTCGCTCGTTACGGAAGTCCTTCCTCGAGAGGCACATGATGTCATGTTGAGTGAGACGTGCCGTGTGCCTGCCAGCGCTGTGGAGTCGTCTGAATTTACTTTTCACGGCTGTTCCACTCCGGATCACTTAGTTGCCGGCCGACCTGACCTCCGAGACGAGGTCACGCCCCGGTCATGCTACCTGCGGGCGCTCGGCCTCGCGGTCAGCGGCTCCCCCGCGATGTTATGTTTTGTACACAAAAAACAACACCAGTTCTTATGTAAACCGAGAAAGTCAAAGAAACAACAACCGGTAAATTTTTACTTTCACTCCCGCACACAGATGCACTGTTTCAGGGGTCAAACTGCTGTACTGTTTGCTGCAGATCACACATAAAGCCACTAAAACTGTCGCAAATCAATTATTTTCAAGACAATTTCAAATCTAACCGTAAAATATCAAATTATGGGTGTAAAAACAGGGGGGCATGCCCCCCTGTAACCCCCTAGATTTTCTTTTACCCCAGTGGGGCAGGCCCCCCTGGAACCCCCCGATTGGTCCAAAGCATGTCTATCTCGGTTAAAAACAATCAAATATTTCAAAAACCATTAATTTGCGACGGAAATGAAGTTGATATTCGTGTTCAGCGCATCAATATTTAGTAGAAAATAATAGACAACTGGTAGCTGAGTGTGAGACGGGAGGGAAAGTAAAAAAATACCCAACGACCAAATGATCACATGAACACGAAGGTGTAGTTTACGACAGTATCATTTTTATCACGGAGAAGTAAAAGAAAGAGGGGGAATGTGGCTTTCGTCATTGATTGGTTTTACAAACAAACATGTTTTTAAAAAAATAATTAAAAATAAACGGACCGACAGATTGTTACAGTCTTCATTTTCAGCTCACAATCAGACTTTGAACTTTCAAACACACTTACATTTATGAGGTACGACCAAAAAGTCTTGTTGCTATTGTTGATTAATGCACAGTCTTGTCAATGAGTGGAAAAACACTTTTACTTCTACCAGCAACCGACTGCCTGACTTTGTTAATTATATTTGTTCTTCGTTTTCTTGTCGGTGAGCTTGCTAAGTCAGATGATATTCTGTGTGTGACTATCCTTTGAAACACTAACTGTATACCACTGTACTAGATTGACCTCTTTTCTGATTGGCTGCCAAGTTTCATTCATATCCATTCATGAGAAGCGGCGTGAGAGCGAGTTGAAGACAACAACCTTTGCGTCAGTTCGTCCCACGAAACATCCCCACTGCGGGGGCCAAAAATCGGCAGAACAAAACGCGCTCGGTGGGCATATATATATATATATATGTCGTTATCAATTATAACTCTCCATAGATCTAGATCTAGACAGTACACAAGTGAACACAACATATTAAAGAGCAGCACCCTTCATAGGCAACACGTCATATCTCTAGCGAAAAACTGTTTGGAACTGTAGCATTTCTTTATATAAATATTTACTGCGGACATTTTTTTGGACCGATTGAACCATACGAACAATCTTTGGTAGGCCTATAATATAATTATAGATTTAATGTATATATCCGAAATTTGCGTGAAAGGATGTGACTTCAGAGTGTTCGGAGAAATAGTGCCCAGCTTTTTTTTCCAGAACTTTCGGAGAAATTGTGCCGGCCCCCAAAAAATGCCATGGAATCTTAACTTACCATGAGATGAGTATGATAGTATTAATAAGTTCTTTATATGGCCTTTTAACTAACTAGCATTAATTGCGACAGAGAGACGTTGTGACAACTAACACGGCCTTAATTGCGACAGAGTGAGTCTGTGACAACAAAAAAAAGAAGTTAAAAAGAAAAACAAACACACACACACACACTCTCTCTCTCTCTCACACACATACACACACACACATGACACTCACACATACACTCACACACACAAACACACACCACACACGCTGGTGGCCTTATACGCACGAACACACACATAGGACATACACATACACACCAAACTAACAAACAAAAACAAAGTGACTCTGTGACAATAAAAAGAATTTAAAAAGAAAAAAGAAAAACAAATACACACACATGCACACACACGCACTCACACACCCTCTCTCACACATACACAAACAAATACTCCTCTAGTCATGCACATGCACACACCTAACACACACAACCATACATACACACACTCACACACACACACTGCACACGCTTGGCCTTTTACGCGCGCACACACATACACACAGCAGATGACTAGGACCACCACGCTGGGAAGCGAGGTGGAAATGGTAGATCTAGATCTAGATTATGAATGATGTTCTTGATCTAATCATCAACATCAGCTGCTCTCCGTGTTCACTCTGTCGCAATTAACGATGCATTAGTTGTCACAGAGTCACTCTGTCGCAATTAACACTACCAAATGCAAAAGAGGTTACTATTAGCCTACTGCCACAGTCGAGCAGTCTTGTTTTCTCGCAGATCTAATCTATTAAAAAAATAAAACACGGCTGTTCAGTTTCACTCTCCGAGCGGCGCACTTAGTTGTAGCCCGTCTGACCCTTCTGACCCCTGTGACCCCTCGCGGAAGGTAATAAATCTCGACGCGTTACGCCACTTCCACCGGCCTATCCCTAGATCTGACCGCTCCGCGCGGAAAGGGTACAATTTCCAGAAATTAACTGGAATTTACAACATAGTACTCCCTTTCTCCATCCCGTAAACCTAGGAGTGTTATATACCAAATAAAAGCTCAGCATCTCCTCTATAACCCGCAGTTTGAAACCAGTTTCTATCTCATTTTATACTCCTACCTATATACTACAACTGTTGTACAGCTCTGTGTTATTGAATTTTTTGGATTTAAAAGATAATTTTAATAATTCGAACCGACAATTTTTGTTTTAACCTTCATATTTCTTTTTATAAATCTATTCTCTCCATTGTGGTGAAAAACCTCATGGTACGAGCTAAATGTCCATGAACTAGCGCACTTTATGTGACTAGTCTAGTGCAACGCTCGGTGCAAAGAAAAACTCTGTGAAGCGAGAACTTGCCGTTTTCCATTGTGTGTGCAAATTAGATGCTACTGTTGTTTAAATGTAGATATGTGGAGGCTCCATTAGAATATGAAATCAATACTCAACAACAATAATGATGAATATTTTCTATGTTAAAGAAACACCAAACCATATCAGATGAGGGGAGAGTGTTGGGTGGGGTGGATAAGAGTTTGAGTCTTGTTAGATAGAACTATACTCGGTTTAATTCTATTGTTGTAGTCTTCACCTAAGATCCCACAATCAATAATTCCGGTTCACTTAAGATTCTGCTGTTAAAAAATAAACCAAACAAAGCAACATCAAATTTTAATACACAAGAGTCATCACTGAGATAAATTACCCCCCCCAACCCCGGAGTGTAACAAGGGACTAAAAACGCTGCTCTCCATATCATACTTTACTGAATAAAAAAAGAGAAAGAAAACCTTCAAAGGTCATCCACGCTCATGCATGCGATCACACCTCAAAAGGTGCTGTTATCTCTTTTAAAAAAATATTTGAAATCATTGTGCGCTCTACTTTGTGAAAACCAGGAAACAAAATTATTGTAATCAATAATATTATTATTTATAGACCAAGACATACTGTTAGCAATCAGATAAAGCTGGCATCGACCCTCTGTTGTGTTCGCTATTCCTTACACATAAAGTTAGTTATGGCACACACCTAGAATCATGCAATCATAATATCTTAAATTCAGTTTTAAAGTATATTTTTATCCATTTCTAATAATTAAATATTTTGGCATCTTGAAAGATTATCTTTATAATTTTAATATGTTTGATAATTTTATGTTACCTGGACAAGTTTTCTTCTTATTTTACACATCTTTCTGATTTTTAAACTAGATTATGACATAAAACTCTTAAAGAATTGAATAGTCCGTATCACACACAGAATCTTTTTTTTTCTCCCTGTCATTAATTATCCGTCAGCCCGTCAGTTGATCACAATCTCTCACTCACTCTCTCACTCTCTCTTCTCTCTGTCTGTCTGTCTGTCTGTCTGTCCGTCCGTCTGTCTGTCTGTCTGTCTGTCTGTCTCTCTCTCATTCTCTCTTTTTCTCTCTCTCTCTTTCTCTCTCTCTCTCTCTCTCTCTCTCTCTCTCTCTCTCTCTCTTTTATTTAATTTTTCCCATTCTCCTTCGTCCCTTCCCAAGGCCCGCCCCTCCTCTTTCATCCCTGCTCCATCCCCTCTTCCTTGCGTGCATTCCCCCACCCCGCCCACCCCCACAACGTGGCCCAGCCCGATAAGATTCTATAAAAAGAACCGCCACAGTTCGAGATTTAGCCCACACTCGGCGGCCATATTTAACCCCCACCGCGGCGTACTGCTCGTGGCGCCGCGAAGAGAGAGAGGAGGCTCCATTAGTTCTAAACTCCTTGCCTCAGGCCCTACAAACGAGGCCCCGCTTACGTGAACCGGAAAGGGGGGGGAAGGATACTTGAAAACTAAATGGGGGCCTTGATAACTTGCGTTTTTGTTGCATTTTAGTCACAATACAATAGGTGTAGTCATTTTTATTTGCTTGATTTCATGACAGAAGAATAGAAACAGAAAAGCAAACTTCTTGAGAAGTGGTATGGCATTGTGTTTGCGTTATGAAAGCCTATTCCCCCCTCTTGGGAAAGCACACACTTGGACTTGTCCTGTGTGCTCTGTTTGGAAAAGTGAGGCATTAAGATTGATATTAAAGAGTATGGTACGTATTCAGTCCAGTCTGGGAAGACAGTCCCGTTTATACATTGTTGTCGTTCACGTGTGCGTATGTGAGTGCGCGCGCGTGCATGTGTGTGTGTGTGTGTGTGAGAGAGAGAGAGGGAGAGAGAGCGAGATAGAAAGAGGGGGGGTGTAAATATGTTACATTTATTGTATGAGTTGTAGCCTACACATGCGAAATATTCCCATGACTTGTAAACTATATTATCTGAACGCATCTTAATCTACCACACAATAGGACACTGTCCAACATTGGATATATATCAGAGACGATCTTATTTTCTATAACAAAGTATGCATGCTTATACTAGTAGAGAACTGGATTTATTAGACTAATAAATCCAGCTCTCTACTTACATTTTTGTGACAAATTGATCCAGAGCATTGCTTGGCAAGGAGGAACCTTTTATGTTGCCAAGTTTCATTCAAATATCATGACTTTGGGAGAACATATGACTGATAATCTTTGTAAATCTGTAAAGAACGCCACTTTTTTACCTGTTAATGTCTTTAGAACTCAAAAAGCATGACAGATATTAAAACTCTGACAGCATGATTAGATTCTGCATTAAAAAATGTACTGGACTGCCAAGTTTCATTTACATTATATATATTCCAAGAAATAGGCGAGCTATGACAAATATTGTCTCAAAACGCACCGAAAACCGCCACATTTTTACCTCTATAAACGTCTTCATTACTCAAAAAGTAGGATAGCTATGAACAATCTGAAAGCAGGACTAGATTTTGCACTAGAAAATGTACTGGGTTGCCAAGTTTCTTTTAAATACTCCGAGAAATGAAGGAGTTATGACGAATATTGTCTCAAAACTCACCAAAGAACATCCTATGGGGTTTTTTCTATTTATATAAAAGTGTACCAAAAATTAATTGATTAAAAAATTTGTAACTTTTTTGTTTATTGATGAATTTCAAAAATTCAAAAAGTTTCATGCTCTGTGAAGATACAGCTACAAAATGCACCTATTTGCAAACACTTTCTGGCAAAAAAGGTCATTGCTACACATAGAACTAGAATCTGCAGGGTTTTTTTGGCATTTTTTGGTCCCCGAATCGGGGAATAAAAGTCAAATTTTAAAAAAAGAAAGAAAAAAAAAGAAGAAACCGAACCTCTTTACTTTTGAAAGAGAAGAAAGTCCACTTAGCTTCACTTCGTCTCTTTCTCACCTGTTGTCCACACGTTGATTTGTTGAATACGTTACTGTTGCATACGATTTGTATTGCTGTTCCTCTTGTATTTTTCCCTCTTTGTGGTGTTTTATTTTGTTGGGGTGGGTGGTTGACGGGTGCTCTGGTGTGGTTTGCTTCTTCTTCCCTATGAAACATCTATTGTCCTTATCTTCCCTTGTTCTTTTATATGTTTGTTACTCTCTTTTAACACCTCTAATCTTCTGGCGCTCATATGACCTTATGCAGCTGCGAGCGCCGTAAAACCTCTACTAAAACTAAAACTAAAAAATTTGTTGGTGTGTAATTTTTTTCTTCTTGTTATTGTTCTGATGTGTTGTTTTTCTATTAATTTTTTTTGTCGGGGAAAAGGGGGGTGGGGGTTGTATAGTGTAACGTCATTTAATTTTATGTTCCTACCTTCATTAGATTCTAAATATATTTATATATATATATATATATATATATATATATATATATATATATATATATATATATATATATATATATATATATATATATATATACACATGTATAAAATAGATTTAAATGTGTTATGTAAGAGCGTTCCATCAAAACCGATTACATGTTCTGACACTGGCAGGCCCCTTGTGTGTGATTCCATAATTTAACATGTAATATCCTGTACTTTTTTTTTTTTATTACGCACATTTAGGGTTAAAACAGCCAATCTTCTTCAGACAGGTGGACACACACCCTTATTTGATAATTTTTGTGGTTGTTTATGGGCTGTTCTAATTTTTATTTCATTCTATTGTGAAACCTTTCTTTTTCACGTTTTTACACTCATCTAAAAATCTCTAGACTAGACCTTGAAAATTAAAATAGATCTAGATCTAGACCCAAAAATTTGCTCCTTCCCAGACCTCGCAGAATGGCAGAATGAAAGTTGGCTCAGAACTCTCGCAAATAGGCAAAAAATCACGAGAGAGGAAGCGGGAAACCGTTCAGAGAAATAGTCACTTCGTTGTTTTTTTTGTCTTACACAAATTTCAACTTTTAATCTGACAAAGTATTTATTTTTTAATCATTAACATTCATTTTTCATTCGAAATAAGCATTATTATTGTGCTCAGTAATATTAGTGAAAGTAAAATTTTACCTTGAAGGGAAATATGTATTATGTTTCTAGGGGTGCCCAAAAAAGTTTTACCTATTTCTGTATTTTCAGTCTAACCCTGGTTATGAGGCGTAATGAGCCTTAAAGTTCAGTATACAAATTTCTTTAGTTTTTATTTTATTTGAAAGGGCCCAATGTTCCCAAAGTAGACAACGCTGTTTTTCATTTCATAATGTCTGGCCGGTTGTGAAAATGTTATGAACTGCATGGCTGTAGTTGTCTTGTGAAAAGATTATGTACAGCATGTTTTTTTGTAGTGTATACCTAGTAGTATTTTTAGTTTTCCCTGTTCTATATATCTGTTTGAGAATGAGCACTGTTCTGACCAAATCTGTTAACAAAGTTGAACAAAAGCTTTATTATTCGCAATTCAGCAATACCGACCTTTCTCAAATTATAAAATTCATCTGGCATTTCACTGCTGCTGTTCCTAGTAATACTGATCATCATCATCGAAAGTGCGAGATCTGAAACATGAGGGGTGAGATGCAAAATTCGCTAAGCGACATTTTTGAAAAAAATCGAGATTTTTTGCTTATATAAATGAACATTGTTACCGACTATCAAATGGACAAAGTGTTTTCAGCCAAAACCTATCACATACTTCATAAAAGCCACCAAAAAATCTTCTTTTCTTATGCGTGAAGCAGCATTTTAAAAAGTTGATTTTCTCAAAAGTTTTAACTTCTTTAACTCCGGCAAGCAGCTCCCAACGGCTTGCGGTCGGAACCACTGTGCTGGTGAGCCGCTGACAGCGGCTCGGGCACATTCCTTTACGGCGACTGCGACATCAAATTACTTTTCGGCAATTGCCAAAAACAGGTCTCTTAAATAATGGAAGTTCTTTCATTAGATAAATAACTATCAAAATAGGTTTGCTAGTTTCAATATTACCCATTTAATGACGTTTTTGTCATTTTTAGATTTAGAACAAAAAAAGGGCCCCATTGTAGTGGGTTTATCCCCCGCGGAGATAGACTTACAATGGATGTAGCGGGTTTTGCATGTCAGTCCCTCATATTGACAATAATGTTTGGCCATTCATTTCTCGGCCCAGATGCTACTGTCCGGATATAATACTCTTAAAACCATTTTTGGTTGTTTTTTTTACCACTAGGACTGACAGAGACGATAGCATCTGCAGCGTTTTCTCGCATTGGACTGAAGGTTCTACATCTGGACAGGTAAATCAATTAGTTAGATCTATGTTGTTTCCCTTTAATTTCCTAATGCAATTCTGTGATTTTAGTCATCATCTCTGTAAGTGAAATACATAATATCTATCTCTAGATTTTAACATATTTTTTTATGTTGAAAGATAAAATAGCGGAATTAAGCATGCTTTTGCCTTTATATTCATCGATTGACCGTAACTATTCTAAAAACTCCTGGTCTGCCTTTAGCTTTAAAAGATTTAATTGCCTGTTTGTCCGTTGATACCACTAGGATCTAAGTCGTAGTATGGCCAGTGTGTCGAGACAAATACCTGAAAAGTTAGAGGAGTCACTGTTAAAAGCCTGATATTTATTACTGTGGCCTTTAAACTTCTTTTGATATAAATGATCCTTTTACTGATGTCAAAGTTTACTTTGTGTGGGTGTTTACACAAATTTGTAAAGAGTTCTTTTTAAGATGTATTATTTGGGATGCTTAGAAGAATCATTTTGAGTATACATGCCATTAAAAAGGTTATATTGTTATGAACTCTTTCTGCATTGCACGGTCTTGATGTCCCATCAACAGGAATGACTATTATGGTGGTGCTCATGGAAACTTCAATTTGGAGGGCATTGAAAATTGGAAAAAGAAGAATGAGGTCAGTTTTTTAATGACTCTATGAATGAATTAAAAATTGTTTGATCCATTAATGTTGCTATTGTCTAAAATACGACTAGTTTTTTTACTTTGAAAGTGGGTTGTTGGCGGGTGCTCTGGTGTGGTTTGCTTCTTCTTTCCTTTCAAACATCTATTGTCTTTTTCTCCCCTCCTTCTTTTTTGTGTTTGTTACTCTCGTGTAATACCTCTAATCTTTGGCACTTATATGAATTTATTGTGTTGCAAGTGCAGTAAAACACTTACTAAAACTAAAAACTGAAATTTTTTTCGGTGTGAAAAGATTTAAGTTATTTATGTTGTAAGCTAAAGAAATCAGAAAAGAGAGGCTGTTGAAAAGTTAAATCAGACAGCTTGAGAGTTACGAATTTTGTTGCTCATGTGTTCTCAGGGTTTGCAAAAGTTGGTGTATCGTTGGCAAGCTGTGAAAATGTTCCCAGAGAGCAAAATTTTCCAGGAGAAAGTAAAACTGTTTAATATTTTGTTATGTTTTTTTTCTTGCTTTTCCCCCCTGCCTATTTTTAGAATTTCAATATCTACAAAATTTTTCTTGAGCACATGCAATTGATACTGCCGATTATTAAACTGCTGTTCAATTCAATCTGGGATGGGTCCTGAAGAGGGGAGGAGAGCATAGATGGACATGTTCCGACTGCAATGACCCCAACACAGTGGACAAGTAACAAGTTCTATTCAATAAAGATTTTCGGCTCAGTGCACTTTGACATAATATACTAGACAATATCTTTGTCCATTACAAAATGAAATTCTTTTTGTGTTTCAGGAAGTGCAAGAGAAAGCTACCACCATGTCTGAGCTGACAGAAGATGTGAAGAAACTCGTGTCTGAAGGGGAGTCTCTAGTGTGTTTGCCGACGGAGCACGTACAGGCCTACAACATCAAGAGCCAGTTTCATGTCAGGTCAGTTATTGGTGATTTTCTTTTAACACTTTGCGGTCACTTGGCGCAATAATGCGCCGGTGAAAGCTATCCATTCCGGTCACCTGGCACAGTTCTGCGATGGGCCCTAGAAGTTTGTTGCAGTCGATCTCCTGGCAGGGTGACCAGATGGGGTTTTTTTGTACTGCTGGTTGTGTGACTACAAAGTGTTAAAAGAAGAATTTTTATAGTTCTCTACCTATATATCTAATGTTTTTTTAATTTGAACTGCTGAGGTTTTTTTGGTTCTTGGTTCTTTCAACATGCATGTTGTTTATTACTCTACATCAATTATTTGTCTTTGGGGTTTTTTTTGTTTTTGTTTTTTTACCTTCTTCCCTATTATGTAGAGTCAGGGCTTTATCTGGTTAGTTTCTATCTCTGGCCTTTATTCCCTTTTAGAGATTCATAATTCTCTTTGCATCATATATTTCCTTATATATTCCGTATATAACGATTTACCTCTATTTATTAAATTCCTACCTTCTTCCAGGGAGAGAACAGCAGAGGAACAGGCAGCTGCAGAAGAAGCCAAAAAGTCAAGATTCCGACCTTTGTATAGCCCAGTGGAAGTGCCAGAGCCTGAAAACAAATCTGAGGCGACCGAGGGTGCCAGCGGAGATCCTACCCCAGCCCTGGCAGGTGGGGATGGCGACCCTGAGGGTCAAAGTTCACCTGAGCCAGGAAAACAACCCGGAATTCAAAGCGATGATGATGCACAAACATTCCAGCCTGACACGACACAAAGTTTGTCTGATGATAAAAGACAAGCAGAAGTCGGTTGTCAAGACAGTGGGGATGACGAGCTGACGCAGCCTGTGGCCGCCCGGGACATCGATAAATGCCAGGAAGGAATTTCACAAGACTCGGGTGTACAGACGGCGTCGGAGTCAGAAAGTACGTCGGCTGACAGTTCTTGCGTCAACGCGGAGGACGAGAAGACGCCGAAGGAAGACGGCACGCCTGAGGAGACCTCCACCGAGTCCGCTCCTGATTGTGGAGCGGGTAAAAAATCAGCCAAAGAGTGGACAGTCGGTGATATATCGGACGACTACAGGAGATACTGTTTTGACTTGTCCCCGAGGGTACGTAAACTGATGGTGGTGTCTTTTCATTTCTGCTTTTCGCAAACCTTTGCTTCCCCCCTCGCACCCCCCACCCCCAAGAAGTGCGACTGACTGAAGTGTCTTTACGCCATTCCCAAAGGGGGCATATTAACATATTAACATGTTCTTATGCAGCTCAGTAGAATTGCAAATGGGATTTCTCAATGTCATGCTCAAACTGTGTCGGAACAACGTAGGGAGAACTGCTGCTTTTTCTTTTCTCATCTTTACTATTGTCATTTTCCCTCTACTTGTTCTGTATGTTTGTCACTCTCTTGTGAACTGCTATTTCCGGGGTGCCTTGATAGTCGAAACAGGCTTTGTGCTGTTGACGATAGAGAGGTGAGCAAAGTAAGCCTGATTCCCCGTTGGAAGTTCTCTGTTGACATCCACCGCTTGGCGCTCATATGACCATATATGCTGTTGCGAAGGCTGTAAAACCTTACTAAAACAACAAAAAAACAAGCAAACTTTTGAACTCTCTCTCTCTGACAAGCCATTCCCAGCAGCGTGTGGTCAGAACCCCTGTGTTGGTGATCTCCTGTGAATTTCCTTTATGGGGGCAATGACGTTATATTAATTTCTGGCAATTGCCAAAAAATGTCTCTCTTACCTTTACCAGGAGGTCTTTTATTAGGTGAAGAACTATCAAAATAAGTTCATTAGTTTTGATTTACTCACATTCAATGACATGTATGTCACTCTCAGGCTTCAGATCAAAAGAGGGCCGTAGTGCAGCGGGGAAAACCCTCTGCAGAGATAATGAGCTAAAACGTGTGCACATGACCAGCTCAGGTGTTTTTTTCCATCGATAGCAAATATGTTTACTGTAAAAGTTGATGAAGAGAAGAAAACGGTAGTTTAGTGGCATTGGGTGGTTGGCGGGTGCTCTGGTGTGGTTCATTTCTTCTTTCCTATCAAACATCTATCGTCCTTATCTCCCCTCCTTTTTTATGTTTGTTACTAAGCTTGTGGCGCTCATATGACCTTATGCAGTTGCAAGCGCTGTAAAACCTCTATTAAAACTTAAACTAAAAGTTTAGTGGCAAGGTTTCAAAACTTGATGGTCTTTTTTTGTTTTTTTGTTTTTCAGAGGGGGGTGGGTGTTGTTTTTCTGTGTGCGTTTGTTGCTCCTCCTTTCTCTCTGATGTGCCCCTCCCCCCCTTTCTTAAAAAAAAACATTTTCTTTCTTTTGTGTGTGTATTTTGATTCTTTCTTTGGATATCTCTTTCTTTCTTTGTCTATTTTCTGTAAACACCTGCATTCTCAGCTCATGTTATGTTGACTGCGTGGTTTTTCCCAGGTGTTACACTGCTGTGGGGACCTGGTGCAGTTACTCATCAGATCGGACGTGGCTCGGTACTGCGAGTTCAGGACTGTCAGTCGAGTACTCACCCTGCTGAAGGGACAGTTACAACAGGTGAGTGGGGGATTGTGTGTGTGTGAGTGTGAGAGAGAGAGGGAGAGAGAAAGAGAGAGAGAGAGAATATGTGTGTGTGTGTGTAAGAGAGAGAGAAAGAAAGTGTGTGTGTATGTGTGTGTGGGGAGGGGGGGATCTTGTTAATGGAGAGGTACAGCTGATGAATGAATGGGCGATAGGGATCATGCTATTGTAGAATTCACCCTTAGTACATCTATTTACCTATGAACTTCTTGCTCAATTTTATGAAAGTGAATAAAAGTCATTCGTTTAGAAAATATTTCCGAGAGTGTACATCTCCCCTTAACCCTATGAGCCCTTGCTATCGATACACTGGAGATGCATAAAACTGCCTGTATGTCTAGCTACCGGTACAGCAGTGAGTGAGACACCATCCCCGACCCGGCCCACCTGAGACAAAATGCTTACGGAAAACAGTGTTTGCTACACTAGACATTATTGATTGTTTTGAAGATCGTTTTGAATTACATGCTGCTAATGACCAGGACTACCCTGAGTGAGACTTGAAATGTGATTCTGATGATAATATGAATATTATTAATATATCACTCAGGATCTCACTCAGAGGGACACGGTAGCCTCAGGAGGTCAGGGCTCAAAGGGTTAATCGCCCCCAGGGTTGTAAGGGCGCGATCCCACTGCCTTCTTGTCGTGTCTCCATTTCTAATAACAATGAGAATAGTTCTGGTGTAGTTTGCTCCTTTTTTCCTGTCAAACATCTTTCGCCCATATCCCTCCTTTTTTTGTGTATTTTACTCTCTTGTAACACATCTGTTTTTCGGCACTTATATGACTTTATTGTGTTGCAAGTGCCGTAAAACTCTTACTCGAACTTTAAAAAATATATATTCTTCGGGTCTTATATGACCTTATTGTGTTGCAAGTGCTGTCAAACTCTTACTAAAACAAAAGATATTGTCGTTGCACACAATTTTTTTGGCAGGTTCCGTGTTCGAGGGCTGACGTTTTCAGCAGTAGTATCGTCTCTCTCATCGAGAAACGTCTGTTGATGAAGTTTTTGCAGTTTGCTGCTGTCTATGACACAAAACCAGAGGAATACAGCGGTAAGAAGGAGATAAAAAGCATTATAAACGACCCATCACACCCCCCTTTCCGTGCAAATTGTAAGATCCCGCAGCGGCAAATATGTACCTCTAAAAACAAAGAAAGAAAGATATAAAAGAAGTTTTTTACCATCTAGCATCAGGCTATTGTCAGAATAAGCATCAATGTGTATTGCTCTTATGAGTATGTATCTATATTACTCTAAAGGTCTTGTAATTAAATACTGTATGTGGTTGAATGATGTATCTGATTTGAAATGTACATTTTGTCAGCTTTACTTCTATTTTCATATTGAATTTTAATGAAAGCAATATATAATTTGAATTTCTATTTGTACCTGCATGTGTTTTTATTCTTCTGTACAGCCAAGAAAAAGTATTATCTTTTCTTATCTTATCTTAATCTGGGGACTTGGTGGGAAAATTCATAGCTAGTTGTGTTTTCTTAAAATTTGTGTGTTTTGTCATTTGACTGTTTTTTTGTGTAAATATCGTGTCTCCGCTCAGGTAAAAAAAAAGAATCGTTGTTGTCCACTGTGTTTTTTGTTTTCCTCTGAGACTTCTTCATGGCAAGTTAGTTCTTTTTGTTTCAACTTTTTTGTTGTTGTTGTCTTTTACTCGTAGCTAGGATTGAACAGGATCCCAATTGAGTTGTTACTTTTTCACATTTTGAGCATCTGGAGAATTGGGCTACGGTTTGTGTTGGGGTGGGTGGTTTGTTGTATGAGCAAAAGTGTGTTCTCTTTTACCATTTCAAAATGTCAAGGTAGTGCTTTTTTGTTCAAAATTTTATTTTAGTTCTGATTGGTATAGGAGATGCGGAATTGCCTTGTTTTGAACACATTGTGAAAGTATATTCTGATTTCGTCTTCTCATGAGATTGAATGTACCTTATACTTGTTATCCATTCAATTCGCACTACGTTATTTGTGTGTATGTTTTTACCGTGTTTCATTTCAGTTTTGGATATTTGTCATTTTTGTCTTTGATGGATGATCGTCAAACACAATTTTTCAGATTTTCACCTGTACACATTTGGGTTTGTGGCATAGATGTAGATTCATTTTGCTTAATCTTTTGACAGCTTTCGCCGATAAGCCTTTTGTGGAATTTCTCAAGTCAAAGAAGTTGAGTGGCAACGTCCAGCATTTCATTCAACACGCCATTGCCATGGTAACTGACACAGTGTCCACCGAAGAGGTATGCTGCTTCAGAATTTTAGTCTGTTTTAGTAAGGTTTTACGGCGCGCAACAGCCCCAAGGGGTGGATGTCAACAGAGAAGTCCTAACGGGGAATCAGGCTTACTCTGTTCACCTCTCTAGCCTCAACAGCACAAAGTCTGCTTTGGCTATCAAGGCACCCAAGAAAAAGTAACTGTTTCCCTTATGTTGTTCCGGCACAGTATGAGCATGATTCTGATGAATCAGCCCATTTACAATGCTTCTGTGCATGAGAACATTTTAATATCCCCCTTTGGGAATGGCATAAAGACATGCTTCAGAATGGGAGGGACAAGTCAGGCAGACTGGTGTTTGCACATGGACTGGTTTCTGAGAATGTGATTCCGATCATTTTTTGTGATTTCATAAATGTAATTGATTTTAGGCTCCCACATTTACTGGCAGTATGCATGGGGGTAAAACTTATTGTCTGTACCACTACTTGCCAAAGAAGTTTTATATATCATACTAAAGCTGACAGCAGTGCCATCTCACTTGTCAGACACTAAACGTAATGAGTGCAATAATAGTATGGTTCACCATATTCGCTGTCTTGTTTCATTGCTCAAGTTTTTTTCTTTTATGTTCTCATGTTAAGTTGGATGAAAAAGGTGGGTGGTTTGCGAATGGTCTAGTGTGGTTTTCTCTTTCTTTCCTAGTCAAACATCTATCATTCTGATCTCACCTTTTTTGTGTTTGTTACTCTCTTTTCACCCCTCTAATCTTTGGCACTTATATGATCTTATTGTGTTGCAAGTGCAGTGAAAACCCTTTCTAAAACTAAAAGGATGAAAAAGACGTGCTGAAGCAAAACATATAACCAAGATTTTCTGTTTGTATTTCCAGGCTCTGAAGAAGACACAAAAGTTTTTGAAGTCTTTGGGTCAGTACGGCAACACAGCATTTTTGTTTCCTTTGTACGGGAGCGGCGAACTGCCCCAGGCTTTCTCAAGGTAAGGAAAACATTCAATCTGTGTTGACCAGTTCCTGTGATGTGAGATAAGATAACATACTACTTTATTGTCCAAGAGGGAAATTTTTCTTGGCTGAACAGGACACTAAAAGCACATGCAGGTATATAAATTAAATTTTAGATTACTCTCTTTAAAATTCATTTAGGCTCTGTGCTGTTTCACCCAAAAGGTGTAATTTGATTCCAGAGTAGGGGTAATTTTTTTTTTATCGAGTATCTCTGTGTGTAGGGCATGCAGCCGCTGTTGTTCATGACAGGCATGGACAAAGAGACTTGCCCAGCAAAGATGTCTATATCATGTCAGTGAGATTATGGTACATTTCCAGTTATACAATTAATTATGATTTGCTGTTTGTGCTAGTTGTCTTTTATACCCCAGTAATTTATATTGTGTTCGTAAGTGTTGATGGTCAGATTAGATACATGATCGTTTCTGTTCATGGAGCGAACATTGAAGCAAGATAAGACAAAAGCTATACTGTAAATAAAGGACTTGTTCGTACTTTGGTTTTCCTGAGTCTTTGTATCTCTGTAAGTGCCACATGCTCTGAACTTTTTATTCATGTAGGACAGTTGTTTTTTTACATTTATCTATTTGTTTATTTCCCAAGTGAATGTTTTATGTGTGTGCAAATTTCCCGTCAGTGGGCACCAAGGAATATTTTGTGTTTCCTTATCTTTTCCTATTTCAAATAATATTTTCAGCTCACTCTTTTTCTCCTTCACTCCCTAACAAAAGACTAACTCACAACAGTGTAACTGTATGGACAAATACGGACAATAAACTTTAAACGAAAGATTAGTCTGCCTTTTGACTCGGCTTCTCAGATTGTATTATGGGAACTTTTTTAAAGAGGAGAATTAGATTCAACTGCGCTGTAGCTCACTGAATACAGATTGAGTTTCATCAAATATGGCATCAGTAGCCTACTGGTTAGGCTTTTGGGCTGGCAACTAAAAGGTTAGGGGTTCGATTACCGACATGAGGCCTGATGTTGTGTCTTTGGGAAAGTCACTTTACAGTATATGAATTTTCCTCACTTCAACAAGATGAGAATGGGTACCCGACTAAAGACGGCAAAAGATCTTGTCAGTTTAGATTAGAGCACTTTATTGGCTGCACACACTGTGCGCTTCCCTTCGAAGCTGAAAATGCTTCTGAGTGTTCTAGGATCCGTTGGGGTACTATTGTACACGGTTCCTGCAGCCTCCTTGATATCAAGGCATCCTCGAAAATTCCTTGAATTTGCATTCTAGGAAAAATCTCCTTGAAAACTTGAATTACCTCGGATCGGACATGAACAAAATTTTTGTCGGACAATCGAAACTATGATTTATTTTTGACATGTGTAGGCCTATGAGAAATAGGCTTTCAGGGTCTGCGTGTGCCGTCGAAAACGGCATGAATTTCTTGACCAAGTCTCCTTAAAATTACAACATTTCTCCTTAAAGTCTTCTTGAATTTGAGGGGGGGGTTTCATGACAGGAAGCCTGAGTGTAGATTGTGAAGCGCATAGAGTTTGCTGTCGAGCAGGGGATTTGCGCTATATCTATGCTGTTTATCATTAGATGCCAACGTCCACCGTCCTCATTTCTCCCCCAGGTTGTCCGCGGTGTTTGGTGGGATTTACTGCCTCATGATGACGGCCACCCATCTAGTCACTGATGGAGAGAAGAAGTACGTGTATCAACAGATTGTTGGGGGTGGGGGGATTAATGCTCTGTATCTCCTCTGTCCTTGTGTTTTGCTGTGTTGTGTCTCCATAAAATTGTCAATCAATATTAAATTCATTTTTATAAAGAATAATTATCAAATTCATTTGAAAGAAATGGTTCAAAAGCAGCTGTGGTGTATATTGTTTTTACAAGTGGGGCATTTGAGGGTGCTCTGGTGTTGTTTGCTCCTGCTCCTTCTTTTCTATCAAACAACTATCGTCCTTATCTCTCCTTCTTCTTTTTTGTGCTTGTTACTCGTTTGTAACACCTCTAATCTTCGGCACTTTTATGATCTTATTGTGTCCCAAGTGCTGTAAAGCTTTTACAAAAACTAAAAACAAGTTACTGTTGTCTGCATGTGGTATCGTAGCCTTATGGTAATTAGTTCCAAATTCCATACACTCTATTCGTATAGAAATGGAAACTTTGTGATTGCCAATTGACAGATGCATTATATAGTTGGGAACGTATTTGATTTCCTGCTATGTTGTATGTTCTGTCTCAGTCAAAAGAGTTATGGTGAAGTCATATTGGTGTGCTGAGTTGAAACAAAACTGTAAGAATTTTTTTTTAAAAAGGAAAGTCAAAACTTATATTATTTCCAAAAATGTATTCTTTTGACAGGTGCACCGGAATCGTCACTTCCAGTGGTCAGAAAGTCTCTTGCAAGTAAGTAGCAGGTCTTTACAGGTTTGTGCTCTCGCTCGCTGAAGCTTCTTTTTGTTACCTCTTTCCATCTTCATCTTAGATATAGAATTACAAGATTTGAAAAGGGGAGCATTCTCAGATTCTCTTCATTTTGTTTTAAAATATGAATCCAGAATTCTCAGGATTTTTAAACAAAATCTTCCTTCATTTATTTACTTTTCGGAGAAAGTGTCTGAGGTTTGAAAAAGCTGTGCAGTGCTCATTTGAAATCATGTGTTTTCTTTTATAGCTGAAATGTTACGATAACAGCAGCAAAAGACCTTTTATAATCATCTCCAGTATTGCCAGTAGCTGTTTTAAGTATAAAACAGGGTTTCTTGCGAACTCCTTGAATTCAAGGAGCCCTTGAAAACTCCTTGAATTCCCATTCAAGGAAAAAATCTCCTTGAAAACTCCTTGAATGTCGCCGGATTGGACATGAACAACATTTTTGTAGAGAAATTGAAATTACAATTCCTTTTGGACAAGTGAAGGCCTTTCGGAAATAGGCTTTCGGTCTGAATTTCTTGACCAAGTCTCCTTGAATTAAAAAAATTTTTCTTGGAAACTTCCTTGAATGTAGTGGGGAAATTACGGTCAGGAACCCTGAAAAAGTGTGCTGTTGTTGTGTTATGTGCACTTCCCGTGACAAGTAGATTTGACTTATCATTGTTCTATTATTCCCTTCCCAGGTACTTGGTTGCTGAGCAGACTTACCTTCCCCCCTCCTTCATGGCCACCCAAAGCTACAGGTGAGAGAGCAGGACAGACAACATGTTTACTTCCTCTCCCTGTAGTTTGACCCTGATATATTACTTGACAATCTGCTCATGACAAAAATAACCTCGATAGTAACACATAACTGTTGGTTCTTTTGGGTACCTTTTTTATCCAAACTCATTTATTTTCATGCTAATATTCATTGTACAAGTAGATTCACTTGAGAAAGAAAATAGTCAGACAATACATTGAATTGAACAGTGGAGAAGCTGGTTTGGTTTCACATGAAAAATTTGCTTCTGCAGAGCTGCCTTGACATAACAGGTGCCTCATCATACGGCAATGAAGTGGTTGAAGAGTAATTTGTATGTGCATGTTTGTTTGTTTTTTGGTGACATTTGTGTGGTCCATTTCATGTGGTCAGTGAGTGCTTTGATATCATTTCACCTTCCTTTTTTTTTTCCTTCAAACTTACTTAAGATCTAGTCTATTCCCGTAGAAGTGTAGCCTTTACTGGGTTAATTGCTGTAGTCTACAACGTAAATATAACAGCCTGGACTTCTGAACACCTCTGTCTTAGTCTGTCTGGCTAGCTGAGAACAAAAGGAGTGACCCGTTAGCTCAGTTGCTATCTAGTTTCTTGTCATAATAGATATGCAGGTAATACACTATTGGACACTATCATACACATTTTTTTCTACTAATCAGATGGCATCAATGTCAAATAAATGGGCAAGGGATAAAAAAAATTTAACAAACTCAGTTGCTATCTGGGCAGATGGCCCTGGTTCAAATTCCAGACGATGTGTTCTTGAAGTCAGGTCGTTTTGTGGTGTTTTCAAGACTCTCAGTCCATCTCCCCTCCCCCAGGGCAGTGCTACTGACTGAATTGTCTTTCGTTCATTCCCAAAGGGGGAATATTCGCATTGACATGTTCTTATGCTCAGTAGAATTGTAAATGCGCTGATTTATCAATGTCATGCTCATACTGTGCCGGGACAACAGAGGGGCAACTGCTGCTTTTTCTTTCCTCATCCCCACTACCGTCATTTTCCCTCTACTTCTTTTGTATGTCTGTCACTCTCTTGTGAACTGCTATTTCCATGGTGCCTTGATAGTCGAAACAGATTTTGTGCTGCTGAGGCTAGAGAGGTGAGCAGAATAAGCCCCATTCCTCGTTTGGACTTCTCTGTTGACATCCCCCCTTGGCGCTCATATGACCTTATGCAGTTGCAAGCACCATAAAACCTCACTACTACTACTACTACTAGACAACTGAAGGTTGGCTCTAGCATATTTCTGTTGATTCTCTGCTTTGGTCAATGTTGTTTGTTTTTTTTTCATTTCAGGAAGTTGTCGAGAGCTATTTATATCACGGACAGAAGCATCAAAGAAGCAGAGGACCAGGAGGTATGAAGTGTGGGGTCACAATCTGGGTTTCTTTTCTTGTCTGTATTTATCCAAGTGGGTGGTTTGTGGGTGCTGTGGTGTGGTTTGTTCCTTCTGTACTATCAAACTTCAATCGTCCTTATCACTCCTCCCTCTTTGTGTATGTGGGTGGTTGGCGGGTGCTCTGGTGTGGTTTGCTTCTTCTTTCCTATGAAACATCTATCGTTCTTATCTCCCTTTCTTCTTTTTTATGTTTGATACTCTCTTGTAACACCTCTAATGTTCTGGCTCTCATATTACCTTATGCAGTTGCGAGGGCCGTAAAACCTCTACTAAAACTTTAAAAAAACTTCTTTTGTGTATGTTACTCTCTCTTGTAACACCTTTAATCTTCAGCACACTTTGGTCTAATTGTGTTGTAAGTGCTGTAAAATGCTTACTAAAACAATTGCAATGCTAGCTTATTGTAAATTGGTAACTGAAAACTTTTATTTCGTTGAAAGGTTTTTTTAAAATTTCAATGAATGTATTATGCTGCTTACTGGTAGATCATAAATACTGTTGTATATTTGCGCCTCCTTGTCATGACTGTACATCAATAGCTGAGACTTATTATTTGCCAACTATGATAATGTTATAACGCATCAAGGTCTTAACTGCTTCTTCTTTCCTATCAAACATCTATCGTCTTTATCTCCCCTTCTTCTTTTTTATGTTTGTTACTCTCTTGTAACACCTCTAATCTTCTAGTGCTCATAGGACCTTATGCAGTTGTGAGCGCCGTAAAACCTCTATTAAAACTAAAACTTAATAAGGTCGTAACGTGACTTTCTTGTAAATAGACAACTTCTGTTACTCCTCATTCTCACAGAGGTCTTGTGTTTGTTTGTGAGCACGTTTCATAATTATTCGTCAAGCTATAAAAAATAGCCAGAACGCAACACTCCTGTTTGGTAATCTCTGTCCCGCTTTAGTGCCGCTCTGTTCCCGATATGATGTGGCCAATACCTTCCTGATTTCCCACAAGACTGCCTTTCCCTGTGTTTTGTGTGAATGTTTATCTTTAACAGTTTTGTCTTAAGTTTTGTGCAACTATTTACATCTACAGTTTTGTTTTGTGCAACTGTTTACATGTTCAGTTCTGTATGACTGTTTACATCTACAGTTTTGTTTTGTGCAACTGTTTACATGTTCAGTTCTGTATGACTGTTTACATCTACAGTTTCGTTTTGTGCAACTGTTTACATGTTCAGTTCTGTATGACTGTTTACATCTACAGTTTTGTTTTTGTGCAACTGTTTACATCTACAGTTCTGTATGACTGTTTACATCTACAGTTTTGTTTTCTGCAACTGTTTACATCTACAGTTTTGTTTTCTGCAACTGTTTACATCTACAGTTTTGTTTTCTGCAACTGTTTACATCTACAGTTTTGATTTGTGCAACTGTTTACATGTTCAGTTCTGTATGACTGTTTACATCTACAGTTTTGTTTTGTGCAACTATTTACATGTTCAGTTCTGTATGACTGTTTACATCTACAGTTTTGTTTTGTGCAACTGTTTACATCTACAGTTTTGTTTTGTGCAACTGTTTACATCTACAGTTTTGTTTTGTGCAACTGTTTACATCTACAGTTTTGTTTTGTGCAACTGTTTACATCTACAGTTTTGTTTTGTGCAACTGTTTACATCTACAGTTTTGTTTTGTGCAACTGTTTACATCTACAGTTTTGTTTTGTGCAACTGTTTACATCTACAGTTTTGTTTTGTGCAACTGTTTACATCTACAGTTTTATGTGACTGCTTATCTCCAACACTTATGTGTTTTCGGCACCCACCACTGTTGTTCTGTGCATTTTTCAGCTGTCCTTGCTGAACTTCCTGTGCTCGGGAGATGCCAGCCGCCCGATCACGGTGCTAGAACTCCCGCAGTCAGCCATGGTGTGCCCTAAGAACGTCTGTGAGTTGGCGGGACTTTGTCGCCTCTGTGTAGTGATATGTGTGTTCTTGGGTCATGGTTAAAACTTCTAACTTCCCAACTGGAAAATACTGGACTCATAATAGTTACAATGGCTATTGGCTTTTTAATTCAGCGATGCTATTTATTTTAGCGACTAAGACGCTGTGCACTCTTCTTCTTCGTTTATTGTTTTACGTCTGTGGGAAATTTAGTAAGAACTTCATTTTCCTTTTTTGCCCAACTTGAAATGTAATTTACTTGTTATTCTATATGTTCATGTTTTTGAAACTCGAACGCTGTATACAGAATCTTTGATTCCCTGAACGAATGAAGTCTTTTTTTTTGTGAATTGCAGTATGGACCATGAACAGGTGGTACTTGATGTGAAAGTTTTGTACAAAGTTTGATTCAAGTTTTTCATCTTTTTTTCCACAGATGTTGTCCATCTCACTCGTCTTTCGACCGGGGAGGATCCGGAAGGAGATTTCTCAGAAGTCAGAGAGAAGCTGTTTTCTGGGGGTGAGCTTTGTTAGGGCTTCGCTTGTGGTCTTTTGTTTTTTCGTATGCACGAGAATATATTTGAGGCATTGTGGTGAAACCAAGCGCTCGTCAATTTTTGGGCTTATGGAGTTATTGGTATCATCTTAAAGCTTGTTCACTTGGCCTACTTTTGTTTAAAAAAATACCCATCTATCTTCAATAGAAGTCAAGACAATTGTGTTTGAAGGAGGTGGGGGGTCACCTGGCTTCAGATGTAAAGTTGTATAGAAAATTTTGGTGACTTTCAAAGATTGAGAGTTCTTGGAAACTGTAAATTTACATTTTTTTCATTCTTTGTTCAACGTTTTTAAGTAAAAGCCACACAGCAGTGTGTTTGTAAATAAACCTAAAAGGTGTTGAGCCAAAAAATAAGGTGATACCAATAACTTCATATACCCAAAAATTGACGAGCAACTGATTCCACTGCATCATGACACATTTGTTTTGTGAAATGTTCAATGGACATCAAAAGGTTGCGTGTCACGGCATGGGGAAATAAGGCACGGCATGGGGAAATAAGGCACTCTTCAATTTTTGGGCACATTTAGTTCTTGATATCAACTTAAAGTTTGTTCAAGTGTCTTATTTCTGAAGAAAAAAATAGTCATTTATCTTAATAGAAGTCAGGATATATTCTATTAATAAAGGTTTGGGGAGGTGATCTGGTGTCAGAGGTAAGATTCCCAAAGGGGGGATATTAATATGTTCCTAAGCACAATAGAATTGTACATGGGCTTATTTATCATTGTCATGCTCATACTGTGCTGGAACAACATAGGGAGAACTGCTGCTTTTTCTTTCCTCATCCTTACTTTCGTCGTTTTCCTCTACTTCTTTTGATATTTGTCACTCTCTTGTGAACTGCTATTTCCGTGGTGCCTTGATAGTTGAATCTGACTTCGTGCTGTTGAGGCTAGAGATGAGCAGAGTAAGCCTGATTCCCCATGTGGACTTCTCTGTTGACATACACCCCTTGGCGCTTACACGACTTTATGCAGTTGCGAGCACTTTTAAATCTTACTAAAACTAAACTTAGAGGTAAGACTAGTGAGAAAATGGCTGCCAAAACTTGGTGACTTCTCAAGTTTGAGTGCCATTTGAAAATGCAAATTTACATTTTTTGTGCCTTTGATAAATAATGCCACCTACACATAAATGTGTTTTTAAATTGACTTAAAAGGTGTTGAGCCTTAAAAGAAAATTGATGATAATCTCCCAAGGAGCAGAAAAGTGTGTTAGTTTCCATGATGTCAGTAATTTGACAAGTGCTTGATGTCAGCTCTGGAATGCCTGTGTGTGTGGGAGGAGAGAGAGAGAGAGAGAGAGTTGGGGGGGGGGCAGCATGGGTATGGTATAAGGTGAATCGAGACGAAAGGCTGTTTTTAAATGTAGTTTATCAAAAACCTGACCTCTGATGTACTTTTTTTTTTTTTTTTTGGTTTGTCTTTTCTTTTTCCATCTCTTTGAGGTTTTTTTCTTTTCTTCCTTTCACTTCTACAAATTTTTGGGGCTTTTTTTTTTTTCACTTCCACAAGGTTTTTTTTTTCACTTCTACAAAGTTTGCTTTTTCTTTCTTTCATTTTTACGATGTTTGTTTTTTCTTTCTTTCACTTCTACAAGGTTTGTTTTTTCTTTCTTTCACTTCTACAAGGTTTGTTTTTTCTTTCTTTCACTTCTACAAGGTTTGTTTTTTCTTTCTTTCACTTCTACAAGGTTTGCTTTTTGTTCCTTTCATTTTTACGATGTTTGTTTCCCTCCCTGTCCCGGTAGGTTCCCCAGAAGACACTGGTGACGACCGGCCACGCGTGTTGTGGTCCATGCACTTCCAGATGAAGGACCGGTCTGAGCCGGTCATGGCCACAGACGCCGCCCAGAACGTTCTGGTCACTTCAGGTGGTGGAGACGATAGTGTGGACCTGGACCGCTGTGTGCAGGAGGTGAGTTCAGATCTATTGTGGCGTTTGGTCATACCGAGATGAAAATGTTAACCCTTCCAGCTGCATGTTTGCCGACAATCGTCTGAAATCCGACAATCGCGACCCGACCCACGAACCGGACGATGCTATCGCTAGGCCCACCTGTATCAGTCAATGTGCGTAGTGCAAGGCTTGGCCGACTGCCAGTGACCCATTTTTCTCCCATCGGCTTCGTCGGCACTTTCGTTTTCGTGGCGACCGGTGACGCGCGCACCGCCGACTGCCGACGTTGGCATTTCCGACATAATTGTCGGAACCTAAGTAGAAACGCGAATACGAAAAAGGACGACAAGTTAAATTATCTACTTTCAGTTTCGTGCTCAAGTGGCCATTTTGAATTTCGTTTGTTGACTAATTCAATTGTTCAGATCGTGTGGATTCATTCAAGTCCGACTCTCTTGTTCTAATAGAATCTAGATCTAGATTTATATAGATCATTATAGACCTCAATGGAGGATTCATATTCCAATTCTATTGTGTCAAACCCTATCATAGGTTGTGCTGTAATCTTTATATTGGTAAAAATAAGCATTTCATCAGGTGCGTGAATTGTTTATTTATTTAGTAAAGATCTAGAATCTAGATCTAGATCTAGAATCTAGATCTAGATCTAGATCTAGATTCTAGATCTAGATCTAGATTCTAGATCTAGATCTAGATTCTAGATCTAGATCTAGATCTAGATTCTAGAATCTAGATCTAGATCTAGATCTAGAATCTAGATCTAGATCTAGAATCTAGATCTAGATCTAGATCTAGATTCTAGATCTAGAATCTAGACTCAGCTGAGTCCCTCTGTTCGGAATCGGATGCGGATTTCTAGTTCAAGGCCTATTCCTATTCACTTGTTCTACAAGATCTAGATCTAGATTTATTTAGATTACTAGATTTCTAGATCTAATCTAGAATCTAGATATAGATCTATATATGAAGGATTCATATTATATATTCCAATTCTATTGTGATATTGTATCAAACCCTATAGCAATGTAGATGTAAGCCATATATAGATCTAGAATCTAGATCTATATGCTCCTTGTTTGTTTTGGAGTGTGGTTTTTTAATTAAAATTTTTTTTTTCATTTAGGACTTGTTTTGGCCTTTTTACATGATGCCCGTTGCAGATTCTTTTTGGGGGTAGGGTTACGGTTAGGTCTCTTCTTTATTGTGTTTGTTGTTGGGATGGTCGCTCGTTACTCGGATGTTCTTCTTACTTTATGACACCCACAAAGGCTTTTTTGGGGGGGGGATTGCGCAAAATTTTCAGACAATCTGGTTGAGGCTCACATGCAGGTCTAACAGCACTCCTTGTACCTCCCACCGTCCCAAGAGCGTATATTCTCAGTTTCGGGGGTACCGGATTTGCGCATTAAAAAAAATTAGCGAACCTAATTTAACTTTAATTTTTATAATATTTGTTCATTTACCTTTAAACATTGTTATATGTTATTATCTAAACCTCATTACAAAGATACTTGATCACTTTTTAGACTGCATGCCTCTTTTTCTGAAATACTGCTGAATTGACTGGGACTAGGGTTGGGAAGTCCACAAAAATGGCTGGAACTGGAAGGGTTAAGAAAACTAATTTAAGTGTTGACTGCTCAGTGTATGACTCCCATCATACAGTGGGTCTAGAGGAATACTATTCGAAATGACATTTTGCAAATTTCACAGGAGAAGAAAAAAACTTTCTCATTTCAACAGAACGCAATTCTAGGATCCAAATCTCACATGTAATGTAGAAAAAACAAACATGGGCTCATTTTGTATATTGTTTTCTAATCAATTTCTTCCATTTGTGTTAAATCAAACAAAGTGTCACCTAGAATGCTTTTCTTGTGAACAAAAGTGTGAGGAAAAATATTCTAAACAGTGCTTAGAATAGTTTCGTATGTTTTTGGGAGAGTCATTTGCGAAAAAAAGTATTCGAACTTGTATATTTACAATAGTTTTTTTCCTTTTCTACCACTGGTAGCAATTTTTAAAGTGGGAAAGGTATTTTAACTGCCATGTATAATACTTCTTTTCAAAATGTTTTCTCAAGTAGATAGAATAACTTTTCTCTAGGCTGTAACTCAGTAACTTTTAAAGCTATGGCTCTGGTGTTTTAACACAAGTTGCGTCCCTTGGTGGAAGTTAAGGCCTTTGAAAAATCTCCATTTTGGCTGACATGTCACTTAGAAAGAATATTTGCCTCAGACCTGCAAACGTCACTTTTCAAAATGGTGTATAGCTGTCTCACACTAAGCACTCGATATAGTTTGAGTATATGAAGCTTGTGATACCTTCAAGTTCCACAACATAATGTTGTGGGTGGCGATGGTAGTCTAGTGATTTGGCTATCAGACTCGTAATTGTGAGATTGCTGGTTCAGAGGTTCATGCCGCAGCTCGGTCTGATGTTGTGTCCTTTGGAAAGGCACTTTACACGAATTTCCCACTTGGCTCGGTCCTTTCGGAGATGGACGTTAAACTCGGAGGTCCCTCCTCCTGAATAACCTAACAGTGTTGATGGGGACCCCGTTAAACCTATACCATTTCACCATTTTTCAACATATTGATGTTTTGACTGCACTTCTCTTTACTCTGACAAATTAAAAGCGTACCATGAAAATCCAGGAGTAAAAACTGTATTTTTTCCTCTGTGTCCTCTCCCAGGCGGAGGTTATCTTCAAGACGGTGTGCCCAGACGAGGAGTTCCTGCCCACCCCGCCCAACCCGGAGGACATCATCCACGTGGACGACGCTGAGGCAGCGGTCAGTTCTGGGACATCGGAGTATCAGGAGGACGGGGGAGATGATGGGGTGTCTGAGAAGACATCGGGGGAGGCTCCGGATGGTGGTGTTACAGAGCAGGGTCAGGCAGAGAGTGGGGAGGTCAAAGATCAGGCAGAGAGTGGAGAGGTCAAAGATCAGGCAGAGAGTGGGGAGGTGAAAGATCAGGCAGAGAGTGGAGAGATGAAAGGTCAGGCAGAGAGTGGAGAGGTCAAAGATCAGACAGAGAGTGGGGAGGTGAAAGGTCAGGAAGAGGCTGTGGAGGTCAAAGATCAGAAAGAGAGTCTGCCTGGTCAAAGTGAAGGGAAGATGGAGACGGCTACTACTACTGGTGGTGGGGAAGAGTGAGAGTAGTGTTTGTGTGTGTGTGTGGTGTGAAGGAGTGGTGAGTGTGTATGGTATGTATAGGAGTGTGAGTGTGTTGTAAATGTGTGGTGTAAATGAGTAGTGAGTATGTGTGTGTTTTGTGTGTGGTATATATAGGAGTGGATATGTTGTGAATATGTGGTATATAGGAGTATTGCGTATGTGTGGTATATTTGAGGAGTGGGTGTGTCGTGAATATATGGTATATTGGAGTGTGTGTGTATGTGTGTGCATGAGAGAGAGTACAGAGGGAGAAAGAGAGAGAGGGGGGGGTTACATTTCTGTAGAGCCTCATTAAAAAGTTTTGTGCAAGTTTATTTAAGTGACTTATTGCTACATAAGGAGAAATAGGCTTTTCAAAGTCTTGAAGCAAGAATTTATGTTGAAAGATGAACGAACATCTTCAATCAGAATAACTCACATTGGCAAGAAAGAAAGGAAAAAGGTTGTGTTTGTTACAAAGTCTGATGAGATATTTCACCACTTGAACATGATGTCATGTCTTTAAAAAATCTCATGGGATACTTTAGCCAGTCTTTTTAAAAAATCTTAAGCTTTAGTGGAATTTCGAAAGTTTAAATGTGAATTTGGGAAGTTTGTGAATGCGCCCTCAAAGTTATGTGCATGAATGATTACATGTGCAAATTGATGTAGTGGTGAGTATGAAGAAATTTTATGTGTGGCTTTGTGGTTCTGCTCAGAAATAGATTCTGACTGACGAATCACTTGCTTTTATTTTTATATTAGTGTTCTCAACTTGTTTGGTCAGTTTTCCACTGAATATTGCGATGAGTATTTGGTCAGTTCCAGGATGTCCCATGATAGGGACAGTCTGTGAAGAAGAAACAATATATTTAATACATAATATGTTATGCCTTTATATATAAACCCTCCCTGTGAGCGGTTGGCGGGTGCTCTGGTGTGGTTTGCTCCTCCTTTCCTATCAAACATCTATTGTCCTTATCCTTCCTCCTCCTTTTTATTGTGCGTTACTCTCCAGTGACACCTCTAATCTTCAGCACTTAAATGACGTATTCGTATTTGTGCTGCAATTGCTGTAAGACTCTTACTTCAACTAAAAGTATACTCCCTGCACTCTTGTCTACCTCATCCATGCTCTTGCAGTGACTTTATGCACATTACGGGATAGCAGCGCAAGTATTGCACTTCAGAGTTGGGGCAAAAATCACTTTTTACATAGATATTCCAAGCTACTGGAGAGGGGCGCATGCCTTGTAATAACCATAGAGTAGTGCAGTTATTTTGCGAAAGTACAATTTTGAAAGAAAATTCCAGTTTTGGTAGTTAGATATAGCGATAAAAAAATCAGGTTTTTTTGTTCCTACTGTAAATTTTGAAACAGCTGAGTTAGGATAGATGTGCTGCTTCCCTGCGACAGTGTGTAAGAGATCAATGGTATTTAAAAGAATAAAATATTTGTATGTACTTGGCAATAATTTTGATGTGGCAATGGGACTACCTTGGTTTTCATATTTTAATTTTTAACCCATTTTTTGTACCCCCGGGGTTGTATTCTACACATTTTAGAATACTTCTAGTACAAAAATCTCTTTGAAACTTTCAGTACTTCTCAAAAAATCGTTTTGACAGACTGCTATGCAAAACGTACAGATCGGATTAACGAGTAAATTTCCTCTTTGGAAAGTGGTGGCACAGAGTTCCCCAAGTTGTATGTATACGATAGTAAAACATGGCGTACGGATAGTGTTAAATAATTGTGATGTCCTCGGTTGGCAAACTGTGACCCTTGTTATGATGAGGGAATGCTGCATTGACTTGCTACACATGCTGCTTTCTGTGCTTGTTCTCAGAGGTTTTCTTTGTGTGGTGAACTTTGGTGCGCAGGTGATTTGGAGCTGTATTGTGTTTTTGTGTATTGCGATATGTTACAAAAAATGTTGTAACATTTACTGTGGCGAAGAAAGTCATTCAGATAAATTTTTTGGAAAGAAAGTAGTTGATGGTCTCTTTTAATGTGCTTTGTATATATGAGTTTACAAAGAGAAGCTTCAATATGATTGTATGTGGGTTTCACTACATTGTGTTTTTTTGTTTGCTTTTTTTTTTATAAACATCTCCGTACACAATGTCAATTACTCAATGTATTTCAATGTAATTAAATAAATATTCATGAAATTCTATCTGGGTTTGTGCGGAGTGATTGTTTGGGAGTGTGGTTCAGATCCGTGGGGTTCTGAGTTCTGTGTGGAGTGAGGGAACCAACTAAGCACAATATACCAGTGTCTGTGGTGTAGTGGGCAGGCTCTTCACCATCTCGCGACCCCAGTGTGTGGGTGGATGGCGGGTGCTCTGGTGTGGTTTGCTTCTTCTTTCCTATCAAACATCTATCGTCCTTATCTCCCCTTTCTTCTTTTTTTATTTTTGTTACTCTCTTGTAACACCTCCAATCTTCGGCACTTATATGATCATATGCAGTTGCGAGCGCCGTAAAACCTCTACTAAAAAAAACAACTTACTTGTTGTATTTCCATTTTTAGTTTTAGTAAGGTTTTTACGGCACTCGCAACTGCATACGGTCATATGCGCGACAACTCTCCATTTTTAATAACAGTTGAAACAGTTCATTAAAAAAAGTGAGCTTAAGAAGATGCCACATGTTCACTGTTTTCAAAAAAATTGAGATACGACAAAAAAGCACTGAGGATGCGATCTCATGCAGTAGATGTAAGTTTGAATCCTGTGTGGGGAGGGTTTTTATTGGATATTTCTGATTTCTGTCCATCTGCCTATGGATGCCATTGTGTCGCTCTCAGCCCGGGTTGGCCCTAACAGGCTTGGTTGAAGCGGCCTTGTTGAGTGACGCGGACTGTGTTGACGGGAGGTAAAACTTTGGGATCCTGTGCTTTTATAATCTGACTTCTGAATGTTGACAATTTGTGGGTGGTTGGCGGGTGCTCTGGTGTGGTTTGCTTCTTTCCTATCCAATGTCTATCGTCTTTATCTCCCCTCCTTTTTCGGGTTTGTTACTCTCTTGTAACACCTCTAATATTCGGCACTTATATGACCTTACTGTGTTGTAAGTGCCGTAAAACTCTCACGAAAAAGAAGGGTTTTTACCGAATATTTCAGATTTCTGTCTATTTGCTGGTATGCTGTTGTGTCGCTCTCAGCCCGGGTTTGGCCCTGACTGGTTTGGTTGAGGCGGCCTTGAGTGACGCGAACTCTTGAACTGTATCGATGGGTGGGGAGGTAAAACTTGGGGACATGGCTTGTGCAAGACCTCGTCCTGTGCTTTTACAATCTGACTTCTGAATGTTGACAAATCAGCTTTGTGTAGGGGGGGGTAAGTGTTTTACGGTGCTCGCAACTGCATAAGGTCATATGAGCGGGCGGCACACACCTAATATTTTCAGTTGGTAGGAAATTTTGAAGCGTGGAGAGCTTTAAAAACAAGCCACATTATCCAGAACATTCTATCGAGGATTCGAACCAGGACCATGCACTGTGCAGTCCAGCATGATATCAACTGAGCTTCATGTCGTGTCTGTAGCTGGGAGAATAGCACAGAAAAAAACCCCTGAGATAATTACAAAGATCAGAACACCACCCCCCCCCCTCCCACAATTTAAGACCAACAAACCAGGGCAGTGCTACTGACTGAAGTTGTCTTTTGAATGCCATTCCCAAAGGAGGGATATTGTTAACATGTTCTTAATCGGAGTAGAATTGTATACGGGCTGATTTATCAATAGTATCATGCTCATACTGTGCCGGAAAAACATATGGGGAACTATTGCTTTTTCTTTCCTCATCCTTACTATCGTCGTTATTCCCTCTACTTCTTTTGTATATTTGTCACTCTCTTAGGAACTGCTATTTCCGGGGTGCCTTGATAGTCGAAGCAGACTTTGTGCTGTCGAGGCTAGAGAGGTGAGCAGAATAAGCCTGATTCCTCGTTTGGACTTCTCTGTTGGTATCCACCCCTTGGCACTTATATGGCGTATTGCAGTTGCGAACGCCGTAAAACCTTACTAGTTAGTGGTTTGCGGGTGCTCTGGCTCTGGCGTGGTTTGCTTTTTCTTTCCAATCAAACATCTATCGTCCTTATCTCCCCCTTTTCTTTTTTATGTTTGTTACTCTCTTGTAACACCTCTAATCTTCTGGCGCTCATATGACCTTTTTCAGTTGCAAGCGCTGTAAAACCTCTACTACAAAAACTAAAAACCTTATTAAAACAAAGAAAAGATCAGAACTCGAGGTGTCGGGTTTTGTAATGAACTGGTTTAATTTGTACCCACAACAGAGGAAACCAAAGCATTCACATTGACAGCTCACATCTCGCCAAACTCGCAAACAAATGAAGAGAAACTGCTGAGGACATCGCTCAACTACAAGTACATAGTTGTGATGTTTACTATACACAGTCACGTGGGGAAAGAAAAAGATTTTATGAAATGTGATGCTAAGTAAGTGGTGAAATCAGGCGCTCGTCAAAATAATGAAATCGAAGAAACCGCCATTTTTCTGACAGGCGATTTTTTAATAGTTTTTTTGTGGGGTTTTTTTTTGTTGGCTCAGCACCTGTTATGTCTATCTAAAAACATTTGTGTAGATTTTTACTGAAAACCATTGATTAAAATCATCAAAAATAATGTGCATGTTCAGTTTTCAATGACTCTCAAGCTATGGAAAAACCAAACTTTGGCGGCAATTTCCTTATTAATTTAACCTCTGAAACCAGGTAACTCTCCCCTCCTTGAGTCGCAAATTTCGACTTCTATTGAGTACCATTCAACATAGATGGATATTCTTTCCCCAAAAGCAAGGCAAATGGACAGGCTTTAAGATGATATCATTAATACATTTAACCCCTTTTGCCCCAATACTGACGAGTGTCTGATTCCACCACATCATGCCACAAATTGTTTCAAAAGTAGTGGATGGTTCCACATGTTTTTGTATGAAGGAGTTTAAAACACTTGTTGGAAATGAAAAATTATTTTTTTGTAAAAATAAGCAGGTAAAAAAATTATAAACAATGTTTTCTCTTTATTGTTTTATTACTGGGTTGTTGTTTTTTTTTTGATACATTTTCCAGCTTTAACATCCTTTCTGATAAAAAATTTTGCATTTTAAAAAAGTCATGTTTGCTGATTTCCAGACTTATATAGAAGCAAGCTTTACCATTTTGTTTTAATTAATCTTACGTGAGCATGAATTGTGTTTTTTGGTGTAAATCACATGAACTCATTTTTTATCACAAAATGTATTCGTACTCCCGGCTAAAAGAGTTAAGTCGATTTGATGCCCAACATTTTTTGTAATTGAAGTAAATCAGACCATGTATAAAAACAACAAATTATAAACCCTAAACACACTGAGTTGGTAGACAAAACTACTTTTTAAACTGGATTATAGATTGTATTTATTTCATTGTTCCGTGGTATTCACACTTGAATTATTTTTTTTAATTTTTCGGCCTCTATCTTTCTTAATGCTTTTTAAATAAAAGATCATTATATTGAAAGAAGGATTTGTGTTGCAGAATGTTGACAATCAACCAAATTAATGAGATTGCATGCAATGGTAACACATGTACTGAAATAAAATAATATGTTTCAAAACCTAACTCAAATATAATAATATTGGTATGGAGAGAAACGGGTTATGTTGATGCATCCATCAGTCACTCAAGTTGAAACGATTCTAACATATGAGTTTCAAAACTAATTCAATTATATGGGTGTGGAGAAAAAGCTTTAGCTTATGTTGATGCATTCATCCATCACTCCAGTTGAAGTGAAATGATTCTAACATATGAATTTCAAAAACGTATTCAAACATATTGGTATGAAGAGAAAGATATAACTTATGTTGACGCATCCATCCATCACTCTAATTGAACTGATTCTAACATAATATTATGAGTTTCAAAAACTAACTCAAATATATTGGTATGGAGAAAAAGATTTGATTTAATAAATCAGTTATGTTGATCTGATGCATCCATCCATTACTCTAACTGAAGTGATTCTAACATATGGAAGAAGAAGATCCATGCTGCGTAACGTTTCCCACTCTATGAGGAGGGAGGGCCGAGCCTAGGCCTACTGTTTCCGGGCACATCTATGGCAACGATGAAAGCTAGAAGATCCGAGTGTGCTTAGAGCAGAGATTGGTCCTATATATATATATATCTACATCATACACATAGTGACGAGACGCCGAGAAATCTAGCCTTGACAATTACTTACAGTAGTAGATTTAATCTGATTATCATGCGAAGTTGAGAAGAGACA